CATATTCTTATTAGAATACTCTTTTTCTCTCACCTATCTCTTTTACCTTTATCAATTTTATTAAAGGAATTATTTTTTCTTACATTTATAGATTAATTAATAATTTTACTAATAATCAACATAAAACTCTTTTTATTTTATTTATTTTTTATGATTATAATTTTTGAACAATCTCTTGAATTAATTTAAAAACCCAGATGCACTTTAACTATTTCTAAAGAACTTAAATATAATATAATAAAACAGAAATCCTTCTCTTTTAAAAATCATATCTCTATTCCTAATAACACTATTATAGATAATAAACTTATTTTCTAACTTTTTTATTTATGACAGATCTTGGTCTCTTTTTAATGCAGTAAAAACTAGTTATCTCAAATATTTTCTCTTTTGTCATATAAAACCTTTTAATAGAAAGAGGGGAAACTGCTGGGAAAATCAAATTTACTTTTATATTCCAAATATGATCTTTAGGCTGAAATATGTTCAAATTTAGCATCAACTAATTTTTTATTTTTCCGGTGGCAGTTTTCCCTCTTCTATTGCAAAGGTGCCATATATTGACTTTTCTTCTTTTAATAATAATTTAGTAATGTAACAAGACAACCAGTTGGTTTAGTTGAAGTTGGTAACTCTTTCAAAGAAGCTTTTACTTTATTTTTTTCTACTTTTATATCCTTATTGGATTTTCTTTTATACTTGTATTTAGAATTTGAATTTAATAATAAATAAATGCTTCACCGCATCTTTAGTATCAAAATTTTTAATTTTAAAAAAAGTTCCATTTACTGTAAATCAAACTTTTTACGCACTATAGACACGTGATCGTGTCAAAAATTTTTAGAGTCATAATAAATTACTAAAAAAATGGCCCTTATTAGTCAAATCAAATTTACAAATGTATCAATTACAATAATGCATAGGAAAAGTATGTCTGGATCAAGAATACGACTTTATTAACAAAGTTACGAGGCCATTTCTTGCATTAATAATAAAATACCTAAAAAAAATCAGACCTCAAAGATAGAAAACCAACTTAAAGTTCAAATTGCAGAATAACTTACTAGTAAATGTAAAAAAAAGACTTCGTAACTTCGATAAAATTTTATTTACCCACTATAGTCGAGGTCCCGACATAGAGGTTTGACTGTATACTTTTGATTTACATATTTAACTATACTGCGATTACATAATTCCGAGCACGCTTTCAGCACCTTTAAAAAAAAAAAAATTATGATTATATAAATTATACAAAATTTCTTTTATTGTAGAAAAATGATACAATATTTACTTATAAAAAAACCTAATATACTTTTATGGTTATTCTGAAAAATTTATGACAATCAGATCACGTGAGTGTAAAAAGGATGTTTTATGGGATCGAAATCAATTCTTTTCTTGAGTATTATGGGGTGTCGAACAGTAATATTGCTTGACTGTCATCCTGAAACGCAAACGCATTGTGTAAAAGAACAAGAAGAAGCATGTGAGTATCTAAAGAAACCTCGCAATATATATAAAATGAGTTAATATAAACCCTATATTTCGTTAGCAAATATACCACCATTTCCCTTATGGACTTGCTTTACGGAAGCGACCTTAGAGTATTGTCGAGTCGTTTTTGATCTTTTTGATTCAAGCACCGGTGCTTCTCCTGTAAGTCTATCATAACTTTAGCAGGAAGCTTCTTTGATGTGTGTCTTTTTAAATGCCTTCCTAATTATTTGATAAATAGGTGTCTGTTCATATTGCCGGTGCACCATTAAAGCTACGCGTCCTCAACGAATGGCATGAACAAAATTTAATGCAGGTACATTTGTAATAGTTTTATGTATTCTACTTCTAACAGAATTATACTAATATTTTTTAATTATTATCAAACGAAAGATTGCTGATAATATAAAATTAATATCACCATATTCCGTTTCATCTTCTCCTATGCGCATTCCACATGCGTTAGAAAATGCTATAAAAGTATTGGAAATAAATAAATCGGACGATAAGTTAGACGAAAATATAAGAGCAAAAGTTATTTTAATATTAATGGGAAATGCAGAGGAAAAGGGTTATAGGTTTGTTTCAAATTTTTATTTGTACTTTTTATGTATTTACAAATAAATTAAACTTGTATATTTATTGCTTTTATGGAAAGCTACCGAGAGACGCACGATCAAAACCTAATTGATCTTCGTGATATGATCTATGAAGCTTTGAAGTCTGAACGTTTACAGTGTGTAATAATTCTTTAATAAATCTTTTTACAATTTTTGAGTTTGTGACTTATTGTTTTTATTTTTAGACGACTACGACAATGTCATTTTGATGTTTTACGTGTTATGCCTTCCTACGAATTAATTGAAAAAGATATTCCGTGGGCAAAGATCAATGCACCAAATTTATCAACAGAAATTTCTGTCACTTTATATAATATTCCACCAGGTCGAAGATGCTTAACACGTTCTATGTTGCATTTAGTTCAGTTGCATCTCAATTTAAACGCTTTAAGACTTTTGGAAGTTCCAATGAAGGTTTAAACTTTAGTTTTTTTTCTTGCTTTTATTAAATAATATAAATTTTTCTCATGTTTATTATATTCTTAAAGAAATCAAATAATACAAAATCATCATATGAAGTAAATTTATTGTATCCAGCAGGAAATCACATTCCCCATAACTCTTTTACTAAAATTTCAAAAAAACGAATATACGAAATTGGTCATTTAAATGACCGTCAAATCGTTCTTAAGTGGGTTCAGAGGCTCTATGGATTAGGTAATCAATTGTGCTCATAATATTTATTGCTGGTGAATTTATATAATATTCTTGGTAATTATCAGAAATTACTAATAATAAATTATTTACAGACCAACTGGCAACAAGTTGTACTCATATGGTTACGCCGACGGAAATTTCACCGCCAACTCGCGCTTTAATGTCGAGTTTAATGAAGGGTGCAATTTACGCGTTGGCTAATGTGCACGAGGTATCAAATATTGGTGATAATTCTGGCATTCAGAATGAGAACGGAAAATCCGCATCATTTTCACATCTTATATTATTTCGACAAGGTAACAAGAATTATTTTTGTTGATACAATATTTATTAAATATTTATACCCCTTTTTTTAATTAATTAAATAATCATAATAAAACAGACGCTTTATATCTTCATTGCCAACATATTAATCATGGGCAAAATGTTCACCTTGAAGATGCTTTGTACTTTAGTAACGTGCCTCCTAAACTTTATACTAAATTTCAAAGTGATCCATCGAATTATCTAACGGTATTATATATTTAACTATTTTATTAATAATAATTATTATTTTATAAAATTAATCAGTTAATTTTTTTTAGTTTTTTGAAAAATATATAATTAGACCTAATTCTATTATGAATAATAAGTCATATGATTATATTCAAAACGTTAAAAATATTCGAATATCAGAAAGAAAAGGTCAAATAATTCAGACCACTTCAAATTTGGATATTGAAACTCGTTGGCTGTCTTTGCTGAATACTGCTGGTATTAAATTGCAGATTGAACTGAGCGCCGATGTATGTTATTCTATATCTGGTCATATGGTCGTTTTGCTGATATTTAAGACATACCAAAACGCATTTGTATTATCATTGAATATTAACTGGTTATTTTATTTACAGAATCCCGTTTGTGAAATCATATCACAATTAAAGGATTTATTATGTGTTGATACGCCACGCAATGATGATGTGAAAATAATAAATGAAGTAATAATTTTTATATTAATGCATTACTTTTCTTAAAACATTCTACAACAGAAATACGTCATATTAAAAAATAATTTAAAATATTCTTAGATATTGGATCGTTTATTGACGATCGGAAGAAGATCGGAAAAATTTCAAAAGTATGCGATTTTATCATTAATGTTGTTTCATCAACTTCATTAAACAATAAATTTCTTTTTCCCCCTAATTAATAGCCAAAAAAGCGCGATTTCATTTTTAAGACAAATGACTTCGATTGCTGAAAATTTGCAATCTTCCTCTCCAATGCATGAAGACATTTGTGATTTAATTCTTACAAGAATTAAACCAGATGGAACAGAAAACAAGCAAGCCCAAATATCGCAATCTCAATATGATACATCAAATGTTTCGGAACCTTCTTCGGAGTCTCTGATTCTTGTCAAAGAAGAATCAAAAGAAACTCAAGGGACATGGCAAAAATTTGATCAACTTAATCTAATGACACATCGAGAAAAGCAAGATATTTTGGATGGACAAGATTTATCACATTTATCTCATCAACAAGCTCATATACAAAATCCTATAAGAAATAGAATGTCTCCACATCGGGGAAGAGGTTTTAATCAGGCATTAGGAGGACGTCGTCCAAGAGGATATCCCAGTTTTGGTAAAACTGAGACGCCCCCAAGAGATAATGGTGATATAATTCGGCATCCGCCTGCTCCTTATTTACGAATAAGACCTAATGATGAAAAAATGATTGCACAAGAAAAGGATGAAAATATGAAAATTTTGAAAAATCCAAAATCCTTACTATATCAATATTGGTCTGGGAAACGGAAGGGTAAGTTTAAAGGAACATATCGTAAGGATTTAGATGGAAGATTGCCATCCAACGAGAAAATTCGAGATTAAAAGAATATATTTTTCATTAGTTTCGATTTAGTTAAATATTGTTGATATTTTGGTAAAAGTTCATCGTCAAAATTAATTATAGATAATATTAGAAACAATATAAATAAAAAAAAATTTACTGTGAAAAACAAGAACAATAAGTAAAATTGTTAATATTTTGTCATGATATTGGATTGAATACAAGTAGTTATGGATTGGTTTAATCGAATGAATTTTGACCTATGTTTTATTTATTCTTATATTTTGATTCTAAACTTGTCCACTGAATTAATTGCAAATTGTGTAGCTTATTTAAGTATTTATTTAACATTAAAAACCTAGAAAAACTATAAAATAAAATTGTTAATTTTCAGGATTAACATCTTGTGATCCAAGAGTGTTGAAGCGCTTGAATAGCAGACATACGAGTCGCATGATGTTCTTCAAGTTTTTTTAAGAATTGGCGTCCTGTTGAAGATTCCACTAAATTACGTGCATTAAGTAATTTTCCAAATTCATACATATCAGAAGCCTTTGTATATTTTCCATTTTCTAGTGTTTTATGATCCCAACTACTAGCTATAAATGATGGTACTTGGTCAGTAGGGCCGGCATGTTCCAAATCGATTAATACATACATATTTTGATTTCATTTCCATTGACCGAATGATCTAATACTCGAAGAACATTCTCCCACCGAATGTCACGGTGGATATAACCCTTAATATGTAACTCATGAAGACCATGGAGAATGTCCTCTGCAGCCTGCCGAAGGTCATCTTCGGTTCCGAGCTCCCAATGAAATCCTCGTGTCGAAAGTATGACTTTATAAGTATCTCCTTTGAGTTTGATTGAATGATTTTGTATTTGCACAAGCCCCGTTTTCCTAATGCAATTTCATATAATTTTTTCTAAATATTGATATTGGTGAATGAATAATGTATTGAAAAGTCATTGATTCGTTTTATTACACAATTTTCCATAAAAATAATTTCAGTGCTGCCCTTTTGGCGAATTTCTCCCAGTGGCAGAACGTTTTTTGGTAGGATCTTTTCAACATTTGCAGTAACCATCACCCGGATAATGTTAACAACCATTTGAATTATTTTCAATCGATGAATCACTAAAGTGAGTCCCTGACGTAGTGCATGTAATGATTTTTGCTTGTCAATAACATAGAATTGAAACTTGTTACCAGCAGCTACATAGCAAAAGATGTATCTTACTCCACCAAAATATATAGGGTCAAGATTTCCCAATTTTTCAGTTAGTTCATTGCGAGCAGCATTAAAGCTGTTTTGGGATGCCTTTTCTTTACCTTTCAAAAATAGCACATCCTCAAGCCAGCATAAAAAAAATCCGACCGACAATTTCCTACTGTAGTCGTTGTTCTTGAAAAATACAATGATAATTAGAATGATTTTAATTTCCTATTTTCACTAGAATGCAAAGTCAAAAGTTAGCTGTTATGATCTATCTTCAAATTAAGTCCAATATTAACGTGAAAGACACCCAAAATAGCTCGAATAAGTGTATCAATAATATAATGCATCATATCTTCACCATATGATGTGGTAAAAAATACAGATTGCATGGTTATAAGGGCAGAAGCTATAATCACAGATAGCTCATCAGCGTTTACTTCAGTATTTGAACACAGAATATCTGGAAAGTTTGCAATTAGATCAGTACCTTTGCGACCTTGTGGTATGGGAAGTTTAACTTTCAATGAACTAGCAAGAATATCAGGGAGTTCGTTAATAGTCGGAAACCTTTCCAATTTTTGCGCTAGATGATTACAAACATTGCGTGTTAAGTCTACATTATATTGGTCAATTACTGTAAGTTAGCCCAAGGTCAATGTCACTTGTTTTACTAATTTTATTACGACTCACTTACCAGCAACGTGCTCTACGATTAAGTGAATTCATTTTTTGAAGAAGCAGGTCAATATGATTGGTAAAATTTGAGCACATTATCTATACTTTGATTGTACATATCAGGATTTAAGAGTCTTTTCAGATAATCAATTATCTCATTATCGTTACAGGTAGGAAAGATCTCCTCTGCTTCAGCTTTTTTTATGTGGATTATTAGTGAAAAAAGCGCCGCGTAGGGATGTTTCCTCTTCACGGGACAAATTAAGGTTAGCGATTGCTAGTTGTAAGTCAAGTTTTTGGATATATAATTTTGTGTGAAGTTTAATTTCATTGGTTGATTGCAAGGAAGTTTTTTATGTAAAATTACCTTTTTTGTATATAATCTATCTATTTTTAGTAAAGATGGTACAGCAATTGTTTTCAAATTTACAAAATGTTGCAACATAAGCTAAAATTAGTTGCAACATATATAGGTTAAAACTAATTGCAACGTAAGTTGCAACATTAAAAGTTGTAACATATTAATTACAGCTCCCATCTTTAATTTTTAGTAATAATTTATACATTTTATGTTGTGTAATATGTGCACATATGCACATTATTCATATATGCATATAGATTTTACACACGTTTTTAAGTGAATTCTGAAGACTTTTTACTAATGAAAAGTCTAAAGTTTATTAAGTTTTATTGTCTTTAAAGGGTACAAACCAAACGTACTATAGTTGTGTAATATGTAGGTATTGTTTAAGTATTTTTTAATAAAACTTGGTAGAACTGGATGTAACTTATCTTATTTGAAAATGTTGTTATTTCTAATGAAATAAATAACTTTGTTTATGTAATATATGTAACCAACTTATAACGAATTGAATTTATATAGTAAAATCAAAAATCATGTGTAATGTTGAAAAAGCATGATTTCTAAATTTAGAACTTTACCTATGCTGATACAGATTGTACTATTAAGCATGTATTTTATACTAATTAACATGTAATATCATTTAATGATCATACTAAACAAACAATTTTTTTTGCTTTCAGAACAATATTTTTTCTATTTTTAGTTGGTCTCCTGATTTTATGCTTCAATGCTTATCAGCAAATTTATAAGATATGTATGCCTTTTAGAAATGTTGTTTTAAATAAAAATGGTACTATAATTATGAAAGTTGCAACTTGATATATTATATCTTGAGTTACAACTAGTTACATCTTCTTGTAAAATTTATTTTAATATATAAATTCATAAATAGTTGCAACTTAAAGAGTTGTAACTCAAGTTGTAAATTTATTAAAATTTTTAAAATTAATTACATTTTTATCTTTAATTTCAAAAAAAACATTGCAGGTTTATTATTCATTGTTATCCAACTGTTGATCAGGTGGACTGAATCACGTAATTAATTGAGTAGCAGCAAGATTTAGCTCAATCTTTACGATAATTTGAAAGAGATTTAACTTCAATTGACATTGGTATACTTTCATGATTAAGTTTCTAAATTAGCAAGTATGAAGACTTCTAATTCACTACGATGACTTGTAATTTCTTAAGATGTTAGAGAAATTATCCTGTTAACGTTATAATAAACTTATTATAATCAAGTTAATAGTATTCAGCTTAAAGTATTTCACAATTTAAATACTTTGACTCGTTGGTGACTCTTAAATACAATGGTTGACACAAAGCAATTGTCATTAATCAAACGATAACAAATAGTGAACTAATCGGATCAAATATGAGTTGCCAGATTTGATCTGATTGGTCTCCTATTTTTGTTTTTTAGAATCAGATGATCCCGATTGATGACGAATAATAACGCAGATAGAATACAATAAGGTTCTAATCAGGGTGTTATAAAGATATCATAGGGTTATTCTTATTGATATCAATTTATTAACATCCAGTTACCAATCGGGTTATTTCTAAATTATCAATAGGGATATTCCTATTGTTACCTATTATACAAATAGCATATCCCAATTGGTAACATTTTATCAAAATTTTATAATACAGGTAATTTTATAATTGTTTATTTTATACAAGTAAGTAATCCCGATTAATTACAATAAAAAGAATT